ATATTTTAAGATTTTAACATCCCTTCTATTACGTAGCCAATTAGATACTAGCAAACTTGAAGAACATTAGGGCTATCTCCCTACCTCATAATCAACAGCCTATAAAAGTAAGGAATAGAACTTCAGGACTCTAATACTGGTCAGAAGAATCAGACCTGAGCTGTAATTATGGTCCTGGGGAGGAGACTTGCTATCTAAAGCTGCCCAGAAGGTCAGTAATAGATAACTACCTAAACTTGGTTCTAGAAACCCTAAACCTTATAGGACTATTGTATAGCAAGACACTTTCTGATGAACAAAGACATAACATTGTCTTCTTCTTCAAAAGTCAAACCAAACAGGCCTCCCAACTAAAATCCCTCAGGAAAAGCTGCTTGTTCCAGAGACTTATGCATAAAATGTAGGTAAGCATCATAGTCCTTTTGACTACTGTCCCCTCTCAACCCTGAAGAGTGTGTTTTACTCTAATAAACTCTGCCTGTATTCTAAAAAAAAAAAATTTATGTATATGAATGTATTGCCTACATGTGTGAGTGCACCCATGTCATGTATCACCCACGGAGGTCAGAAGAAAGCATTGGATCCCCTGGAACTGGAGTTATGATAGTTGTCAGCCCATGCGGGTGCTAGGAATCAAACCCAGGTCCTCTGCAAGAGCAGTCAGTGCTCTTAACCACTGAGCCATCTCGCCAGCCTGAGAATACCAATATTATGAAGCCCTAGATGCTTGCTCTGGAATTTCAAGTCCAATAGTAGAAATGAAATGTTCACTGAGGAAGCTCAGCAGATCTGGGCAGGCAAATAGGAAAGTCAGCAAAGAACATATAACAGTGGTGTCACAAAGAACTAAGGGATAGTGTGAAATATACCAAACAATGAAAGTCCCAGAGGGAGGGTAAAGATGAAGAGGCAGAAAGGGTATTTAAAGAGTGCTCAAAACTCCCTAAACTGGATTAGCATCAGTCTACACATCCAAGAAAATCAGTAAGCTCTGACCAGGACAAACTCAAAGCTGTTCAACCTGAACACCTGATATGATATCAAAAGGCAAAGGCTCTTAGAAGCAGCAAGAAAAATGACACGGCATGTACAAAGGAGACTCAAAATTAGACACATCAGAAACCAAGGAGGAGGCCGGAGAGATGACTCTGCAGTTAAGAGCACTGGCCCGGGTTTGGTTCCCAGAACCCACATGGCAGCTAACAACTATCTGTAACTACAGTTCCAGGTGATCCAATGCCTTCTTCTGGTTTCTATGGGCATTGCACAAATGTGGTACATTTACATATGCAGCCAAAACACTCATACACATTAAATGAATATAAATTTTTAAAAGTTTTCTTGAAAAGATGATCGTTGGCGAAGATGTGAGAAATTAGAGCCCTCATTAATTGCTAGTGAGACTGCAAAATGGTGTAGCTACTTTGGAGAACAATTGAGAATTCCTTACAAATGTAAGGAAAGTGCTAATAGATGATCCAGCAATTCCATTCCTAGGTATAGACCCAAAAGAACCTAAAGCATGTTTATGCAGAAACTTGTACAAATGTGTTCAGAGTAACATTGTTCTTAAAAGCCAAGAAGTGGAAACAACCTAAACATCCACCAACTGAAAGAAGGGAAAACAAAGTGTGGCATGTATTTCGAGCAGGAAGTTACCCAACCCTAAACAGGAATGTAGCATGAATCATGCTACAAGACAAGCTGGAAAAGCACGTGGTTGGCTAGGGAGATGGCTCACTGGATTAAATGTGTGCTGTGTGTACATGCGAACCCAAGTTCAGATCCAGAGCATCCGTGTAAAATGTTGGGTATGATAGAGTGTGCCTGTCATTTCAGCACTAGGAGGCAGAGCCAGGAGCTCACTGGCCAGCCAGTCCAGCCAATCAGTGAGCTCCAGGTTCAGAGAGAAACCCTGTCTCAAAAACATCAGGACTGGAGAGATGGCTCTGAGGTTAAGAGCACTTGCTGTTCTTACAGAGGTCAGCTCCCAGCACCTCATGACCACCTATAACTCCAGCTTCAGAGGATCTGACGCCCTCTCCTGGCCCCCACATACTCCTGTATACACATATACATACACACACAGAGACATACATCTCCCTACTTGATAATAGTGCTTATGTTTGTTACATGTATTTATTGACTACATATCTTCTCTGAAGAAAAGCCCATTGCTTGATTTTTTGTTATATTTATTTATTTATATGTTATGTGTGTATATGCACATGTGCCATAGCATGTGTCTGAAGGTCAGAGGAAATTTGTAGGAGTCTATTCTTTCCTTCTACCACATACACATATGCACAAAAATAAAAATAAAATCTTTAAAAATAAGGTGGAAAGCAATAGAAGGCAAAACTTGACATATGGTCTCCATAGGCACACTCACAGTTGCACACACACACACACACACACACACACACACACACACAAACCATGCTGGTGAAGGAACCACACTGTAATTCCATTTCTATGAAGTGTCTAGAACAGGTAAATCCACAGATAAATCAGTGGTGACAAGTGCTGAAAGGAGACAGGGAGGGAATGCATGCCACCACCTGTATGAAATGTTCTAGAATTAGATATGGTAGGAGGTGTACAACTTTGTAAATATACTAAAGCCCATTGAATTGTCTGTTTTAAAGGGTGAATGTTAGGTGGGCATTTGTCCAGCATGCATAGGCCCTGGGTTCTATCACAAGCACTGAAATAAATGAATTTTGTGGTATGACCATTTCTTCTCAATAGAAACAATAACAAAAAGAGGTCAGCTCCAGTTGCTTCTGGATTTCTTGGGGTTGGCCCTCTCCTACAATGAGGAGGATCTCAAGCCTTCTAAAGCTGAGACATGAAGGGAGTACTGTCAGCAGAAAGTTCTTGCAGTTCATGGTGGTGACTGCTCTCCTCTGCTGCTGTCATCTTCTACCTAAGTTTCACTTTCAGGACACTGATGGAGACCTCCCAGAACCAGCATGGTCCTGCCTGCCCTCTTTCGGTTCTTTACATAAGGAGCTGGTATGGGGCCAGCAACTCAGGCAAGGCCAATTGATCACTGTTCTCTGACTTCCCAAGCCATGTACCCAGGAAAGGGGGCATGGACCTATCACAAAGACTCAGTCCTCCTGGGGATGCAAGAGGAGAGGACCAGGGGGAAAGGAGGAACCCGAAGTGTGTGTGTGTTCATTCTCAGAAGGACACAGCATGGAAGGAGGTGGCCAGCACACCAAAGGCCCCAAGCAGTTTGTCTGTCCAGCCTTCTTGGCCTCTGGGGCACTCATGCCTTTTCTTTGATGGAAATTAAGGGTGAGTTACATTCCACACAATGCTCCAAGATGTTCACCCTTCTGAAAGAGCTATGACACAGTGAGGAAATACATAAACCTTCAAGTGGAGTTTAATGAGGGTTTAGAGACAACAGTTTATAATTTTTCAGAAGTTCAAAAGGCCAAAGCCCTGACACATGGGAATACATCCAGGAGATAGAAGAAACATCGCCCTTCACTACCATGACCCAGTTTTATAGGCTCCACAACTGCTCTCTCACTGTCCCCTCAGATACCTTGTGTGTCTCTAAGTGGCCCTTCAGGGGCCAAGCAGGTGGGTGGACGGCAGAATAAGCAGCATAGTGAGCAGCCAGTTCTGCAGTTCCTTGGTTGGGCACCACAGGCACCAACAGGTCTCAGGATCATCCTTCTTTCCAGTCTGGTGCTAAACTGCTCTCTGAAGAAACCCAGTCATGTCAACTCTCTCATCTATCCCTACAGTCCTTGCCTGGATACAACCAGCCTGGCCTGGCAAGACTCTCAGCTGGTTTCATGGTCAGCAACACCCTGCTTCTCCCAGCTGTCTGGGTAGGGGCATTTCATACCCAATCTTCATAGCACCCCCACCCATGGGAGTCTTCCAGGGAGGAGGGAGATCAGGAGTTCCCTCTCACTGACCATGGGGCAGAGGGATGTGAACTTTTAAGCAACAGCAGTTAGAGAAAGTTTCTACCAGGATGGGTGGTGAGACAGTGGACAAACATGAGGACCAGGTCGGGGTGTGTGGTCTCCTACCCATACTCACTAGGAACAGCTTTCTCATAGCAGACACCCTTGTAGAAGCAGCACCCGAGGTCCCTGCATCGGTCCCTGGTGATGTTGTAGTCGCAGATTTTATAGAGAGGTCTGTCACACACTGCAAAGCACAAACAGAGCTCGGATAACAGCAGAAAACAAAGCAGCATAGGAGAAGGGGACTATGGGACTGTGTTGTGGTTTTATTACTTCAGCTATACATCATACAAATCTTGCTTTGAGACTAAGATCTGGAAAGAGTTAAACTTCTTAACAAAATTGACATCAAGTTAATTACTGAGCACAATGCAGGGTCCACTGATGATTAGGAAGATAACTTATCTCTACAGAGCCTCACTAGGAATGGGCTCCACAGAGGCCTTGAAAGAGGGCTAACATATGACTACAACAGTGAGCTTGGATTAGCAACATGATGCCACATCCCTAGACCAACATAATTTTTTACTTTATTCTAATTATATATCCTTGTGTTTATAGATAAGTGTACCTTTTACCCTTCATCAAAGAAGCTTCTTTTTGAAAAGGATGGAGGCTATTTCAGAGTTACAGAACTGGTCACACATAGAGAATAAGTGTCTGTGAGACACTAAACCCTAAGTGACATACCTTCAATAAAACCCCTACACGTAGGATGAATGTATCTCTCACCTCTCACCAAAGAAGTTTCCTTATACAGTAGATGGTGATTAACACAGAAACCCACAGATGGCCAATGTATAGAAAACAAGAGGCCACAATAGTATACTTATTTCAAACCTCTGTCTCCCAAGGCTCAGGGACCATTGTGAAAGAGGAGATGGGAAGACTGTAAGAGCTGGAGAGGGTGGATGACCACAAGGAAACAGAGTCTTCCAGACAGCTGGTCATTTACTTATATGAACCCACAGCAATGGTGATAGCATGCACAAATCCTATGCAAGCTCAAACCAGACAAAATCCCAGAACAGACTGAAGAAGCGGGTAAGAAATCCCAACCCAACCTAAAGAACTTTTGGCAATTAATGGCTGCTGAGAGGGAGAAAGACAGTGTCTTACAGGCATAGAACTCTTGGTAGGCCCAGTGGATGGACCCACACTGAAGGGCATTTGGGGACACAAATCAGACTCTCTAGGCCATATTATATATAAGAGAGTACATTAAATTGGGTGGGGAGTAGGGAGGGGAGCTGCGGATATGGAACGGGATCTAAATACTATCAAACTATATTGTACAAAAATAGCAAAAATGGAATAAAAAGAACTCAGCAGACCACCTGAGAGTGCCTGGATCTGATCTCTGCATGGTGGTGAGCTTCCCCAAATCACACCTGTGATGAACCCCATAACTGGGACCATGTGAGGCCATCCACTTTCCCAGGGCTAGACCCCTCTGCCTTACAGTGGGGTAGGGGCTGAGACCTTAGCAGACTGCCTGAGTGCCCGGATCCAGCCTCCACCTAGTGGCGAGTTTCCCCAAATCCCGCCCTGTTCAACCCCCTAAATGGGACCACATGAGGCCTCTCCCACTTTGCCAGGGCTAGACTTCTCTACCCTATAGTAGGGACTGAGACCTTAGCAGACTGCCTGAGAGTACCAGAATCAGGCCTCCCCTTGTTGAACAGCCCAAACTGCTCTGTGAGTGCCCACTGGTAGGGGTCCAGACATTAGAAGGAAGCCTCAGTATACCTGACTGGAGCCTGACTGGGCCTCTGTGGGAGCTCCTGAGCAGCTGATCCGAAGCCATCAGGTCCCTCCAATATAAAATCTGAAAGAACCTGAAACCTAGACCAACCAGCTTTTTATACTCAAAAAGAAAACAATCAAGGCACACCAACAATACAAACAGACTTCAACTCAACAAAGGAAGGCTTGAGTTTCATACCAGAATCACAAACAACAAAAGAAATCCACATGCCAAAATCACAATGGAAAAATAATAATATGGAAAACGAAAACAGTATGTTCCCACCAAACTTCACCAGTCCTATAGAAGAATTCTACAAGGAGAACTCCCTAGAGACAACCCAGGATACAGAATTTCAAAGAACAATCATAAACATGATCAAGGAATTCAATGAATTTAAAGAACACACAAACAAATCAAAGAACTAAAAGAAGATAGGGATAAACTTCTGAATGAATTCACAAAAGAGATATAGAAACATTGAAGAAAACTCAGGCTGAAATGAAGAAGAAAGTGAAAGGCTCAATAAGCCAATTTGAAACAATAGGAGAAAGCCTCACAAATAGAATGAATGAAATGGAAAACAGAATATCAACACTGGAGGATAAAGTTGAAGAATTGGATTGCTCAGGCAAAGATTATGAAAGAAGTTTTTAAAAACACAGGAATGAAATATGCAGGAAATGTGGGACACCATGAAAAGACAAAATCTATGCATCACAGGCATAGAGGAAAGAGAAGAATTTCAGGTTAACAGTACTGATCAGATCTTAAACAGGATTGCAGAACAGAATTCCCCAAAATTAAGGAAAGACATCCCCATACAAATACAAGAAGCACATAGAACATCAAATAGACAGGACTAGAAAAGAAACTCCCCACAGCATATCATAGTAATAACACTAAATATACAGAACAAATAGAGAATACTGAAAGCTGCAAAAGAAAAACAACTCACATATAAAGGAAAACCCATCAGAATTACAGCTGACTTATCAATGCAAACTATGAAAGCCAGAAGAGCCTGGACCAAGGTATTTCCAGTTCTAAATGATCATAGATGCTAACCTAGAATACTTTACCCAGCAAAAAAATGTCTATTATAGTTGAAGGGGAAAGAAAAATCTTCCATGACACAAATAGGCCGAAAGAATGCATGTCCATAAAATCCACCCTTTAAAGAATACTTGAGCCAATACAAAGAATGGAGTAAGGAACAACCATACCCCAAGGGGCAACGAAAGAAATTAAATGAAGGTATAATTGTGGAAACACAAAATTAGACAAAAAATGCAAACTAATCAAAATGATGGCAACCAATACACATCTTTCAATAATAACTTTAAATATTAATAGACTGGACTCCCCAGTCAAAAGACACAGGCTAGTTGAATGGATCAAGAAACAAAATCCATCTTTCTGTTGTTTGCAAGAAATACATCTCACCTTCAAGGACAGGCACTACCTTAAGGTGAAAGGATGGAAAAGAATATTCCAAGAAAGTGGCACTAAGAAACAAGAAGTGGTTGCAATTCTAATATCTGACAAAATAGATTTCAAACTAAAACTAATCAGAAGAGATAAAGAAGGTCACTTCATACTGATCAAAGGAACAATTAACCAAGAAGATATTACATTCATGAACATATATGCACCAAACTCTGGTACACCCAAATTCATAAAAACAACACTACAGGACTTGAAGACACAGATTAACCCCAACTCAGTAATAGTAGGAGACCTCAGTACCCCATTGTCTCCATTAGACTGGTCAACCAGACAAAGGATAAACAGAGAGACAGCTGAATTAAATGATGCCATACATCAAATGAACCTAACAGATATCTACCGAATATTCCACCCAAGAACCAAAGAATACACATTCTATTCAGCACCCCATGGAACTTCCTCAAAAATTGAACCTACTGGGGTGCAAAATAAACCTCAAAAATACAAAAAATATTGACCAGTAATTCCAAGCATTCTATCAGACCACAATGCAATAAAACTTAAAATCAATACTAGAAGAAGCTCTAGTCAGTACAGGAACTCATGGAGATTAAACAACACATTCCTGAATGATGAGTGGGTCAAAGGAGAAATTAAGAAAGAAAGAAAAGTCTTCCTAAAACTAAATGGAAACGAGAATACAACACAACAAAACCTCTGGGACACCTTAAAGCAGTCCTAAGAGGGGAGTTTATAGTTCTTAGTGCCTACATTAAAAAAAATCAGAAATAGGGGTTGGGATTTAGCTCAGTGGTAGAGCACTTGCCTAGCAGAAAGAAAGAAAGAAAGAAAGAAAGAAAGAAAGAAAGAAAGAGGGAGAAAAATATGCCTGGAATTCAACAAAAAGTACAATACAACACAACAAAACCTCTGGGATGCTTTAAAAGCAGTCCTAAGAGGGAAGTTTATAGCTCTAAGTGCCTATATTAAAAAATCAGAAAGAGTAAAAATAAGTGACTTAACAGTACAGGTCAAAACTCTGGAAAGACAAGAATAAAACAGCCCCAAACCTA